CTGATCGAATCCTTCCGTACGCTATTAATGCTACAACGACCGATACCACCGCTGCAGCGTTATGTGATTTTCAATGATTCCCGATCGATGATGATACTATGGCGTCATGTAATTCTCAGTGGTTAATGACTAATTACGTCACTGTAGCGTCATAACATTTATTTTTTTTTTTTTCTTTCAGCAGTTGTAAATTCTTCTGATGAAACTCGCTCACGAATTTAAACGATCGTTATAGCGTTAATATCCGAGATCGTACAACAGCTCGTCTGCGAGCGAATTTTTTGTTCGAGGCGATTAACGGGCAGGATGTACCTAAATATATCTACCTAAGACAGAAATCGGTGGAAAATCAGTTGGTCCCTTCTTGCAAAGTGTAAAATAAATAAAATTGTTATGCTCGTCTGCATGTTTCTACTACTAAGAAAAAAAAAAAAAAAAAAAAAAAAAAAAAGTAACGTTAACGTTATTTACACGTGAGATTGTTTTGCGCGCGGTCTGAGGTAAGTCGAGAGGTTCTGCTGGATTGTCGTCACGTGATGCGAAGCGTTTGAAAGATTTTTTTCTATTCCTTTTTTTTTTTTTTTTTTTTTTTTAATCAATTAATAAGACGCAACGCGTGTCGAATTCACATGAGTGAATCGAAATTTCGCGCGTGACAACAATAATTGACTCTCGCCTCTTCGTTTATATATATATATCTGTATATATATTTCTATATATTTTCTTTGCTTTATTTCTTATACTCTCGTTTCGACTTTCTTAACGTTTCACGATAGAGACCGTCAACATACCCGACACACCAACGTCATTTCGTCGGAAATACGTTATTTGGTCAAAGTTACTGGTCATCGCTTATAATAATAAAACAGGTAGTCGATTGTTGCATCGTTTTCGAATATCTTCAGTTTTAATGAGGGCGCGAAAACAACGTAACGCTTTCGTGGAAGGCTGATCCGGTGCTATTTAACTTTTAAACGAAAGGAAAACTTCGTGAAGATTCTTTAATACTTTTATGTGGAACTTTGTTATGAAATTTTATGAAACAGAACGTTCCTACTTTTTTAAATTTGCTTGAAGATAATAATCATCTGATGGATGAGCAACGAAGCACAATTCATTATTTTTGCAGAAAAGTACTTGTGTGATATTTAAATTTAAAGTACCATGTAAGATCAGGTGTTAGATATTTGGATAAATATCTCGTCATTCATTCATTAGTGGAACCAAAATTTTGCTCGTGCTATTGTACTCGTCCACCAGAGAATTATTCAATGTGTGTTTCTTCAATCACACAGTCACGTGATTTAACGTTAAAATACTTTTCGAAAAAAAAATATTGAATTTTTCGAATAATTTTCTCTGTTATCCAATGTACATACATTCTTTATCACCCCGAGATCAATAGTCCAGACCAAAAATTTCCGGTCGAAAGCAACGAGAGAGAGAGAGAGAGAGAGAGAGAGAGAGA